CTGAGCCCCTTTCTCCCTCCTTATTGCATTATCCATTATTTTACTAGGGTAGATCCTGTAGGAACTGCCTAAGGCACACAGAAAATAAGTACTTAGAGTTTCTCACATTCTGAAAATATGTTTGTTGTTCTAGTTAGCATTAACTGTCAGCTTGACACAGAATCATGTAAAAATAAGAGTCTCAGTTGAGTCATCTTTACCAGGTTGGTCTGAAGACATGACTATGAGGAACTGTTTTGATCGTCTTAATTGATGTCAGAGGGCACAGCCCACTGTGGGTGGCATCATTCCCTGGGCACGTGGTCCCAGCTTGCATAAGAAAGCTTACGACCAGCAAGCCAGAAAACAACATTCTTCTACCGTTTCTGCTTCAAATTCCTGAACTGACTTCCCTCATTGATGGACCGTGACCTGAATGTGAGCCAAATAAGCCCAAGTTGCTTTTGGTCAAAGTGTTTCATTGTAGCAGCAGAAAGGAAACTGGGACAGCCATCTTATTTTCACATGTGATAGATAGTTTAGGTATGTATAGAATTCTAGATTTAAAAATATTTTCTGGCCAAGTGTGGTGGCACAGTCCTTTAATCCCAGCACTCAGGAGGCTGGGACAAGTAGATTTCTGTGTGTTCTAGACCAGCCTGGTCTATATAATGAGTTCCAGGCAGCTGGGGCTACAGGGATACCCTGTCTCAAAGAAAATACAATTTCCTGTCAAAAGTTCAAAGCCATTGCTGTGCTATGTCTCAGCTTCCAGAACTGATGTTGAGAGGTATGGCACCATGTTTTCCTCCCTCTGCATGCAACTTGAAGTTTTCTTTCTGGAAGGTTCTAAGGTCTCCTCTTAATTGCTAGTGGCTCACAATTCCAAGATGGTGTGCTCTGGTAAGAATCTGTTCCACAGATTGATTGCACTGGGCATTCTAAGGGCCCTTTAAATCTGAAGACTTGTGTTCTTATGTTCTGAGAAGTCTCTAGCATGATTCCTCAGGAAACTTTACTTTTTTATATTTTATTTATTATTTTTATTTTATGTGCATTGCCTGAATGTATGTAAGTGCAGCCATGTCACAATACCCAAAGAAGTCAAAAGAGGGCATCAGATCCCTTGGAACTGGAGTTACAGATGATTGTTAGCTGCCGTGTGGGTTCTGAGAATCGAACCCAGGTACTCTGCAAGAAAATCAGTGCTCTTAACCATTGAGCCGTCTCTCCAGTCCCAAAGTTCACTTCTTAACTTATATTTTATCCTCAAATATTATGTAAAAAGGGAACAGTCTACGTGATCTTCTTGGATTTCCATTCCTCACGTTAGACCTTCTATGCTGACCTCACTTTCTCTTTTGCTTCCTTCTATGACTTTTTCTTTTTTTGAGATACAGTCTCACTATGTAGCTGGACTTGAACACATGATCCTCCTGCCTCAGCCTCCCCGGGGTGGGTTACAAGCATACACTACCCACACCTGGCCAAATCATGGATTTTTTTGAAGTTTTTGTCTTATTCAGTTCATGTTTTCCTTTCTACAGGTTTCTTGTCTCGTTTTATCTCTTGGGCTCTGCCTAATGTAGAGATTCCATATTAAGCCATCCTTGGTGCTCTCTGTATTAAGTGAGAGGCAACAAAACGCACTGAATATGAGTTTTGCCTTTCTCTTGGTTAATTTTGTTGTCAATTTGACACACTTGAGTAGAGGGAACCTCAAATCAAGAATTTTCCTCTATCAGATTGACCTAAGAGTATGTCATGTCTCTGAGGCATTTTCTTGAATGATAATTGATACAGGAGGGCCCAGCCCACTGTGGGCAGTGCCATTCCTAGGCAGGTGGTCCTGGGTTGTATAAGAAAGGCAGCTGAGCAAGCCTGGGGAAGCAAGCCATAAGCAGTGTTCCTCCATGGTCTCTGCTTCAGCTCCTGTTTCCAGATTCCTGCTTTGAGCTCCTACCTTGGCTTCCTAACTGGACTAACCTGTAAGCCAAATAAACCCTTTCCTCCTGATGTTTGGTCAGTGTTTTATCATAGCAAGAGAAAGCGAACTAGAGCGCCTATGAACTAATGGCCTTCCCTGTGGACCAGCCCAAATCTACCATCCCAGAACTTAGTTTTAGGTCTCTCCTGAGCTTTAATAGGATCATGACCACTGCTGAGAATTTTGGACACACTTTCTGATCATAACCCTTTACAAAAAATAAACCTTTTAAGCAGTTCTAGAGACTGTATGTTAGTATTAAGTGGAATCAGGGAGCCCTGGGTCCAAATCCTTCCTTCATACTAACGTACCAACTTTTATTTTCTTGGGCCTAAGATGGTAATAGTGACAATGTACCACCACTGCCCAAGCAGTTCTTAAGGTTTGTTCATACTGTTTAAATCCTATGAGTTATTTTTTCCATTGCTGTGACCAAACACCTGAAGAGAAGCAACTTAACCCAGGCATGGAGGCACACGCCTTTAATTCTAGCACTCGAGAGGCAGAGGCAGGCAGATCTTTGTGAGTTCAAGGCCAGCCTGGTCTACATAGCAAGTCCCAGGCCAGTTGGGATTACAAGGAGACTCTATCGCAAAAAGATTTTTAAAAAAGCAACTTAAGGGAGGATTGGATTATTGTGACCCACAGTTTAGGAGATACAGTCCAACGTGGCAGGGAAGGTGTGGCGGTGGAACAGCTCCTGTCTGTGGCAGCTTGCTCACATCTCTCCAGATCAAGGAGCAGAGAAAGGGGGACGCTGGCACTCAGATTGATTTCTCCTTTCCCCTCTTTCTATTTATTACAAGACCCCATCCCATGGGATGGAGCCACCCACATTCCAAGGGGCATGTTCCCCTTTAGTTAATCCTCCTTGGAATTCCTTCACAAAACACTACAACACTTACTAATGTTCTGAGTTTCTCCATCCAGTCAGTTGACTATTAATATTAACCATCACGGACATTCTTCCTGGCATAAAGGGAATAGTCTGTAAGAATTGGGGATGGTGATTTCCATTACTGAATATACCTATAAGTCAATATCTCAAGCCATCAATGTAACCCAGACATGATGGCACACACCTTTAACCTCAGCATGTGGAAGCAGAGGTAAACAGATCTCTGTGAGATTGAGGCCAACCTGGTCTATATAGCAAATTCTAGGCCAGCTGGGGCTACAGGGAGACACTGTCTCAAAAAGAGGAAAAAAGAGATTGATCTATTAAAACAGAGTCCTGGGGTTAGAGAGCTGGCTCTGTGGTTAAGAGCACTGACTGCTCTTGCAGAAGAAATAGGTGCAGTTCCCAGCACCCACATGGTGGCTAACAAAAACCCATAACTCCAGTTCCAAGGTATCCAGTGTCCTCTTCTGGTCATTGTGGGCATAGCATGCACGTGGTGCACTCACATACATGCAGGCAAAAGACTCATAGCATAAAAATAAATAAAATTTAAAAACAGTCCTAAAATTTTTCCTGGCTTTAGGATCAATTTTTTAAATGCTGCAAAGTTCTAGAAACTCCAGCCTCCCTGTTGATGGCCCTGTGTGACAGTTTCCCCAAATGATGTTGCCGTGGCAGGAAGGTGGAGAAGCAGGGACAATCAAACAAACCTGCTTTCTCTTTCTTATAATTAAAACCTTTCTTATAATGAGAAATAAATCATTGAAAAGACTTCTCTTCTGATCATAAAAGACATGAGTTCCCTAAAAAAAAAAAACTACATGTAAGGGCTGGGGATGAGGACCCATGTTTGATCCCTAACACCCATGTAAAAACACAGGTAACACCCCAGCCTCGGCTCTGGGAAGGTAAAGACCAGCAGATCTGAGGGTTCACTTGATGGTAACCTAACCTAACTGATGAGAACCCTTTAAAAACTAAAATGGACTGTTCCTAAGGACCACGCCTGAAGGTGACCTCTGGCTTACACACACACACACACACACACACACACACACACACACACACGCCCATACTCGCAAGAAAGCATGCCCATATACACACAGAGTGCATGGATGGAAGTGTGCCAATCCCCCTACCCATTGTCCTGTGGCTTCCTCATCTCCCATGGAGCATTCAACTCTCAGATCACCTCCTCCCCCATCACTGGCCACAGTGCGGGAATCCATGTGTCTGTGGCTAACCCAGCTATACAGCACAGAGGCCATGGGGGGACGAAGGAGATGTCCTGAAGAAATGTGTGGACCTGCCACCTCCCCTAGCCAAAGGCCTTCTGATAATACCTGGCTGAAACAGATGCCAGCCAAGAGAGTCAATGTCACCTGTGATGAACACTCAAGGTCCCAATCAAGCCAGCTCTTGATTACACAGCAGCATCCCAGGTCTTTGTTGCTCCCTAAAAAAGAGGGGTCGTAGAGTAGTAGGCTTCCAGGAATCTGCCAGGACAAGTGTCTGGCTCATCTGTACCTTCCCTGTCTTTGAATGCTAAACTCTCCCTCACCCCAACCTGCTTTCCTAGGAGGAGAACAGGACCTGACCCCTAACACCCCACAGGTACTGCTGGACTCCCAGAGCAGCTGAGCTCAGGGTCAGTGATTGCCATGTCAACCACCTTGAGGAATGCCACCTTTGGCACTGTGGCAGGCTCCTGCCCAGGCCCACGGCAGACTGGAGGCTGAAGATGTAATTCACAGGGAAGGGAAGTCTTCTGAGTCAGAATGTGGCTTGCTATCCTGGACCTAACAGATTCATAGCATTAGATCAAGCTGCTCTGCAGGCCCTTTGGTTGGAGTCCATGAGCATCTGCCTTCCAGACCACAAGTCACCCCAGGGCCACCACCTTCTTGTCTCTCCATCCTTGTAGGTCCCGGTATATGTGGCTGGTGGCCTTCTAAGGCCGTCTCCCTCCTGCTCTTGGTGTGTTGTGCCTAACACTGTCCCTTGGAGAGATGCGCATTGAGATTCCATTCCCCATCCCTTCTTCTAGGCAACTTGTTGCTTTGGTACAGGAACCTTTTCCATCTCTCCTGCCTCTGCCCTGTGCTCTGACTTGACTCTTTTTTCCTTTTTCAGATTCTGGCCATCTGCACTCCAGATCCAATGACAGACTGGCTCAGAGGAGGACAGGACACAGCCAGAAAGTGTGACCATCAGACTTCAATAACAGTTCCACAGTTTTTGTTTATTGAGCACCACCAGCTCTATGCCAGGTACTTTACTATCAATTTTTTTATATTTTATTATTTTTATTTTATGTGTATGAGTGTATTCCCTGCATGTATGTGAGTGCACCCATGTTGTGCAATGCCGCAGGAGGTCAGAAGAGGACTTCAGAGTCCCCTGGAACTGGAGTTAAGGACTGTTTGTAGCCGCCATGTGGGTGCTGGGAATCGAACTGGGATCCTCTGCAAGAGCAGTCAATGCTCTTAACCGCTGAGCCATCTCTCTAGCCCCTGCTATCAGTTTTTATATTGAGAAACCAAGAAGTGGAGTGTATGAGTTATGTTCCCTGCTGCTGTGACAAAACACCTGACAAAAGCAACTTAAAGAAAGAAAGGTTTATTGTGGCTCATAGTTCAAGGGCACAATCCATCATAGTGGTAGGAATGTGAGGCAGCTTGTCATATGTCATCCAGTCAGGAAGGAGAGATGCCAGGCCATGGGATGGTGCCGCCCACATTCAGGGTGGGGCTTCCCACCAGATAATCTAGATACCCCTTCACAGTCATGCCCAGAAGCTTGTCTCCTGGGTGATTCTAGGTCCTAATTGACAGTCAATATTAGCCATCACGTGGCCGTGACCTAAGCCTTAGTGTAGAGGAGAGTCAAAAAGAAATGAGCAAGGAAGGGGCTCTGACATGAGCCCAAGTCTGGGGAATAATCAAAGAAAACCCCAATATGCTTAGAATATGCTTTGTGATGTGACCGTGGGGCTGGTGGAAAGCAATGCACACAAGCACTTAGAGGGCAAGATCAAGAATTTTTTCATTCTTCATGTGTGTGTGTGTGTGTGTGTGTGTGTGTGTGTGTGTGTGTGTTCGTGTATGGGGTGCATGTGTGGATGAGCATGCACAGGTACACAGAATGCATATGGAGGTCAGCAAACAACCTCAGGTATCAGTCCTCAGGCCCCCTCCATTTTTTGTTTGAGACGAAGTCTCTAACTGGCCTGGAACTTTACCACTTAGCCTAGGCTAGCCCTCCTCTGAGCTTCCTGGGGCTCTGCTATTCTCCACCTGGCCATCTGCAGGTTGCAGCTCCACCAGCTTTTTACAGTCTTCTAGAAATCTAAACTGAGGTACTCAGACTTGCAAGGCAAGCATTTTACCAGCCAAGACATCTCCCTAGCCCTCAAGATACATTTTTTTAAATTTGTTTTTTTGTGTGTATTTTTTTATTTTTTAGAAGAAGCATTTCACTACAGCTTTAACATACTCAATAACAATTTCCAGAGCAAAGATACATCTCTTTCAAAAGTGGCTATAAAATTTTTAGGTTCACAGTTGAATTAATACAGTTATACAACATTGAACTCAGTATAAATCCTGTAAGACAAAAATTGAATGAGTTTATAACCTTTAAAAAAAGATCTCCATTTCATTTTAAAATATACTGTTTCTTACAGAAAGACTCATTGCTTTTCCTAATAACACTTATATCTTGGCGTATGCATCTCTAATCTGTATGTATCTGATTATTACTAGTCATGGTCGGTTGCACTTGGATCCTTGGCACCTGTGTATGGATATAAAGTCATCGGGTAGATTTCAATGGTAATGTTTATCACCTCTACTACTAATTAACATGGCGTAAATTTTTATGCTTCCTCCTCAAATATAACTCTCTTTTTTTAATTTTTTGATTTTTTTTGCCCAATCTTATTCATCTCTATACACACTTCCCAGATGGCACCCTCCCATAGCTCCCCGCCCCCTGACTAGAGCCCTTTTACTCTCTCTTCCCTGCTACTGTCTGCTGTGCCAAGATACATTTTTAAGACCTGGTTTCACTGTGCAGCCTAAGCTGGCCTCAAACTATTGATCCTCCTGTCTCAGTCTCCCAAGTGCTGGGGTCACAGGTGTACCACCAAGCCTGGCCAATATCAAGATTTGGACATTTAGTGGGCTTGGTGGCGCACACCTTTAAACCCAGCACTTGGGAGGCAGAGGCAGGTGGATCTCTATGAGATGGAGGCCAGCCTGGTCTACATAGTGAATTCCAGGACAGCTGGGACTACAGGGCTACAGGGAGACCTTGTCTCAAAGGGGGGGGAGAGAGAGAGAGAGAGAGAGAGAGAGAGAGAGAGAGAGACTTGGACATTTATTGTAACTGGTAGAGAAAGCCATGCCATGTCATAAAGAGATGAGGGTGGAGGGAGCCCAGCAGCTGTGGTGGAATTTGAATGAGGGTAGACAGGCTCTCTGTCTGGCCTGTGCTTCCTTGATAAAGATGACCCATGTCCCCAGCCCCTCACTGGGGGGATTATAGACAGGAGCTATTCCCATGGAGCCTGAGCCAGGAGCTTTGGCCTTGCTTTCTGGCTATTGATCCAGAGAACACTGTGGTCTATGGTTGGACTCAACTGGAAGCCAGACACTTCTGAAGGCTGTGTCAGGTTTGGCAGAGCTGGGGCTCAGACTGAGGCTAGACAGAAATTATCCATCCCTTGTAGGCTATGAAAATCCAGAGCCTCTGTGTGTATCGAGAGGAGCATTTCTAGCTAGACAGTTTGCTTTCAAAGAAACTTGACATATGCCACTGGCAGGTCCCAAGTGAGGAGGCTGGGTCTGGCTGAGTTACAGTGTTTGAAAGGGAAAATCAACTTAAAGTTGAATCCATGATGACTGATTCTTTTGATTTGGCTATGCCACCCATAGTCCTTTTCCATTAAATATTTCAAGCATATTAAAAATATATACATGGCTGGGCATGGTGGGTGCACACTTTTAATCCCAGCACTCCGGAGGCAGAGGCAGGCAGAACTCTGTGAGTTCAAGGCCAACCTGGTCTACATAGTGAGTTCCAGGACAGCTGGGGCTACAGGGACACCCTGTCTCAAAAATACCCAAAACAAAAAAAAGAGTATATAATGTGCATCCATGACAAAGAACAAATACACTTGTCGCTGACTGTCATGCCAGCTTGACATAATTGCTGGTGGTCCCTGGCAGCTTTTCCAGGACCACACCTAGCTGCCTCTCCTCCTCAGGAGGAGCTACCATTCTGATTGTTTTTCCTGTTCTCTTTTTGGGTTTTGAGGATGGAACACAAGGTCTTGTGCATGCTGGGCAGGTTCTCTGCTTCAGAGCCTTACCCCCAGCCCCTCACTGGGGGAGTCGAGGCAGATGCTCTACCACTGAGCCTTACCCCCAGCCCCTCACTGGGGGAGTCGAGGCAGATGCTCTACCACTGAGCCTTACCCCCAGCCCCTCACTGGGGCAGTAGAGGCTCTACCACTGAGCCATGGCCCCAGTTCCTCACTGGAGGAATTCAGGCAAGTGCTCTACTACTAATCCATGCTCCCAACCCCCTTTTTACTTTTTATTTTGAGGCAGAGGCTTATTGAGTTGCCCAGGCCATCCCTGAACTGTATAACCTAGGCTGACCTTTTATCTGTAATCCTCTTGTCTCAGCCTCCTGAATTGCTGGGATCTCAGGTATAGACCACCAGCCCTGGATTAAATGGAGTGAATTCTGTGACATGTCAGACATAGTGCCTGGCACACTGTGGCACTTCCTCATGTACTAGTGAGTGCCGTGATGCCCCTTTTACGAGCCTTAGGGTGCCCCTGTCATATCAGCCTCTGGCTGTCTGTGTCAGTGGCCGAGGCCCACCTTGGAGCTCTGAGCCCCTCAAGCATTGGAAAGATGTTGGGGACATCTTTGTACCCTCTGTACCCAGAATGGTGCTCACTGGAATCTTACAAGCTGTATTCTCTTTCTTGGGCTCCTCTGTACCTGTGGTGGCCAAGCTGCATGTTACACAGGATGCTTGTGATGTGACAGTTCCCATGAGACCACAGGTCTGTGACAGCCTTGCATCGGAAGCAGGAGGTCCCTTTCATGTGTGCTTAAGGAGGAAGGTTCGTTCTAGTCATTTCCTGTGCTGTTGTTGACTGCACTGCCAAAGGGCATCACAGAAAGCATCTATATGGCACCGAGCACCCCTCTGAGCGGTTTCACATGTGCAGGCTACGGCCACTACATCCCTGTAGGGCAGGAAGCCTTGCTTCCTAAACCCACACCCTCCCAGCCCTCACAGGTTACGCTCTCAATGCCTCGGTTACAGCCTGCTCCTGAGTGTACAGAGTGGATGTGTTTGCTAGTTCGGGGATTCAGACTGTGCATTGCAGCGAGCCAGCTTCACACAGCTCGGGGAACAGGGCACCGACTATCTTACAGGTGAAGAGGAGCAAGGGAGAAGCAGTAAAGATGCATCCTGGGTTATGTCCGTGTCTTCATTTCATTTCTGTTGCTGTGATAAAATACGCTAACCCAAAGCAACTTGGAGGAGGAAAGGTTTATTTCCGCTCACAATTCCAGGTCACAGTCCATCGTTGTGGGGAAGTCACGCGGGAGCTTGACCCACCTAGTCACATCACATCCACAGGCAAGAGCAGAGAGAGATGAAAACATGCACGCTTAGTGCTTGCCTTTCTTTCTTTTAAAGATTTGTTTATTTTATGTGTATGAGTGATTTGCCTGCATATATAAATGCACCATGTCCATGCAATACCTCATGGGCCAGAAGAGGGCGCCAGATCCCCTGGTACTGGAGTTTTGGATGGTTGTCAGCAGTCCTGTGGGTGCTGGGAATTGAACCTGGGTCCTCTGCAAGGGTATCTGGTGCTCTTAACTGCTGAGCTGTCTCTCCAGCCCCTCTGCTAATTTTCTCCAGTCTTACATAATGCAGTACTCAAATCCAGGGGGTGGTGCCACCCACACTGACTGCACCTTTCCACCCAATTAACCCAATTAAGAAAAAACTCCTTCACAGGCGTGCCCAGGGGTCAACCTGATCTAGGCAGTCCCTCACTGAGATGCTCTGCACAGCTGATTCTAAGCTGTATGTAAGTTAACAATCAAAACATCACAGTCAGTGACCCGGGATGTGTCTCCTCCTGGACACTAGGTCTTTTCTCCATACTCTGCTATCCAGAGAGTGCTAGAATATCTCTCAGGAGGATCCTCAGGTCACAAGCTGGATGAA